CAGTTCATGATTTAAAACAATCAAAATTTCTACATCTTCCCCTTTGTTCAAACTAATTTATCTTTCACATTTCTTGAAACCATTAAGTCGATCAATGTTAGACCACCGTTAGAAACCTGGAAGCACTGGACGGCCGTTTCGTCCTAGTATGGGACTCCTCAGCAGTGCGCATCCACGACTCCTGCACCCCGCAGGATTCGAACCCAGGACTTTCGGTATTGTGCGCGAACGCCCTAACCGTTAGACCACTGAGCCGGTATCTAACGGTGTTAATGTCTAACTTGATCAAATTCACGGAGTTGCGCAACCTCATACCGGCTCAGTGTTATAACGGGTAGGGCGTTCGGCGCACAGTGCCGTAGTGTCCTGGGTTCGAATCCTGGGGGGTGCAGGAGTCGTGGATGCGCACTGCTGAGGAGTCCCATACCAGGACGAAACAGCCGTTCAGTGATTCCAGGTTTCTAATCACGTGGTCTAACGCTGATCAATTCATGGTTAAAAAATGTGTAACTTAACAATCTTCACAACCCCGTAATGCTAATTTATCTTTATTGCATCTCAGTAAGAGTAGTCATTTAATTTCTAAGTAAACTATAAACCATTTTGGCCAATTCTATGCATTAATTCAAATTATCACATTAAATCAATACGTGTATATTAACTAAATGAAATAATCAAGATAAATATCAAATAATAATAAATTAGTAGAACGAATTGATATAAACAAAACACTGAACCTGATAAGACAATAAATATGATTCAAGAAAGAAGTAAAAAAAAATCAATAATTTGTAGAAGAGAAGAAGAATAGTGAAAAATGATGTTTTAGGACTGCAAATGGACCCGTCTTTTTTTAGTTTATGTACGTACATTCTGTGAGCACCAGCTTTAATGTTGACTTTAGGAGGTAAATAGTGAATTAGCATTGGAATCTAAAACTCGCGTTTCATCCCATTTACGACTCATCAGCTGGACGTATTAGCAGCTCAGGGTTGATACAGCCAGTAACAGCAAGCAACAACAACAATCAACGTAGAACTTCTTACGTACATAACATCAGTTCAAGTGCACATATTACATACTACACAGAGATACAACTGCATATCAAATCCCATTGTAGCAGAGGTATGAGTAGTAGTAGTGTGGGCACGCTACTTATAAGTAGTATATAACCGTGAGTGTTAACGTAATGTCTAGCAGCAGAAGATGGGGAAGATCAAGCGAAAGGAAGAAGAGTGGGAACACAATGGAATTTGTATGAAACACATTGAATAGTGAAATGTCAGAACAATGGATTGATGATGGAATGAAGAATTTTGCAAATTAACGGTTGACGATATGGTTTTTCCTAACTTACTGAGTAACTCTGTAATTTTGTTAAATACAATTCGGTTGCCCCACCTCCGTTCTCCTTCACTACAGTAGGAGCAGTAGTTGGAAAGATTATTAGGCTTTAATATGTTATTCAAGAGAGTATAATTTAGTGAAATAAATTCGAGAAGAGTAAGACAATGATGAAGAATTCAGATTGGTATGTCGTAGAGAACACAACACAAAGAGTGAATGCACCTGCACCATCGCAAACGATCTTAAGCCATGTCATTCAAATTTTTCATGCATTCACTAATTTTAAATCTCTACTGTATTATCTAACGAGTTTATATATTACATTACTGTTTATTTCAGTCAGTCAGTCAGTCAGTAAGATGCAACGTAGAACTTCGTACGTACGTAAGTACATCAGTTCATGTTGCCATACCTTATCAGCACAGAGATATAATTGTCAATTCAAATCCAATAGTAGAAGAGGTAGTAAAGGTATTGGAAGTAATCAGAGGGGTTAGGATTAGAAGATATTATTCAAGAAATATGATTCAGTGAGAAAAGTTTAGAAAGTCATAACTAGAGGTGTTGAAGAATCCAGAAGATTAGGATTTGAGAGAACACAAACTGTTTATTTCGATTTTTGATTATAACCAAGAATATATATATATATACATATACGATGTTATTAACTGATGGGTTTTCAATTCAAACTTTATGCATTGTTTACTTCTTGATGTCTTGCTGAAGATTTTATTAATAAATCTTCAACGTAGTAATGAATACGTGATACTACTTAAATCGTATATTTCAAGTATGTTATGATCGTGATACATGTTAACCACATCGCATCGTCCTCCCTCGTGCCAACTAACAAATACAGAAAAGAAAGTATATTTAGATACCTAGAAATATGTACAAATACTCTCATACATATACATATATGCATACTTTTGCCTTCCCGCTCAATTGGCCTGTTTAGGGAAGGGAGAGTTAGCATGTCTCAGATCTAGGACACTGTAGATCATAGCACACCTCAAATATTCTCTATATATGTATATTTCACCTGACTACCTTAAATTCAAAAACAAAACAAAACTATAAGATGTTTAAATGAACTAACTGTCACTAGTTAATCGATTATTCGATAGATATTGAATATGTAATTGATTTCAATTCATTTAATCAGAAGCATAAATTAATTTTAATTAAAATGCACACATACTTTTTCATCGTACATTTCAATTGTACAAATGATCAGTTAGTTAGTAGTAGTCTCATTCGTTTGAATTTATTAAACAGAAGAGAGAAAGAGATTTTTTATCAGAGGATAGAGGAAATTTCCCGTTCAGCAAACTATAAGATAAATGTTACATCTTGAGACACTAATCGATATCATGTGCTTAAATCATCAGTTAGAATTTTGATTTGATCCACTGAGTTTACTTTTAAGTTAGCGCAAGCTATACTTCTATCGGTCTTCCATGTCCGATCCATTTTTGAAGGCTTTGTTTGTGAAAATCCCTCCATGTATATACATTCGTAATATGTCTTTATTGATTCCTTCAGTTGTACATTTTGTTAATCTGTTCGATTCCATTTTGAGATGATAATATTTGTATTTTATTACAGTTCCTATTTCTTTTGCCTTCACTGAGTTTCTATGTTTCTTTCTGAACTGCATTTGTGTTGTTTAAGCTGATACTGAGTCATGGCGACAGCCATATTGATTTGTTTCTCTTTTGGCTGAAGTGATTGCACTGACTGAAAGTGTGCATTTTGATTGTGAATTAAAGCATTCTTCCAGAATAGGAAACACCCTGTGTTATAAAGCATTCAAATATTATTTTTCAAACGAATCTGATCTATCCAGAAAGGATAGAATAACATTTATTTGTCGCTGTTGATTTGATTGATTAATTGAACAATTGTTGGTGGAATAACTGAGTGGTTATATTTGTTTAGGTAATGATGTGTACATTTATATTTATGATGAATATCTGAACTGTCATTTACCCAAATCACTTGTTATGATTTCAACTGGGCAAGGCGTGTATCTGAACTACCTAAACAGTTAGTCGTTCCTCAGTCCAAACCTCGGCTCGGATCCTACATTCCATGCACCGACCTTTTCTTATCCCATGCCGTAGGTGTAAAGAGAAGTAAACAGTCAGCTTCCGTCATGATATTTCAAGCACATATGTAGGTTTATGCGCAACACGTATTGGACTATTTCGCTCCATAAATTAACCATAATAATAATCATCTATAAAAAATAGTTTCAGGAGTTATTACTTCTTCAGTCTTCGTGATGATACTATAACAATTACCAAACATCAAGGTGTTGTAAGTAATCTTCAACTTCTCACAATGGCACACACTGCTTAATAACTTTTAATAATAGTTATTAGAGTGCATAATCACATCGAAACCAGGTGTAAGCCATACTATTTGATTTGTATTATCGATTAGTACTGACAGAACATTGCAGTCAGTGGTTATCAAGACTACAGCATTTAAGAGAAATGAATAAGTTCAAATTCAAAGTTAAGAATATTTGTATTGCACTGTATTTTCACTTAGTAATAATATCAACAACTTACTTTCTCCTGTTACCCTCAATGGAGCATAGGCCGCCAACCAGTTTTCGCCAACCAACTCTGTCCTGGGCTTCCGTTTCCAGTTCTGTCCAATCGTTGTTCATTCCCCTGATGTCTTTCTCTGTATATCGCCGTATTGTCTTCCTTGGCCTTCCTCTTTTCCTTTGACCTTGAGGTTCCAAGAGGGGGCTTGTCTTGTGGCGTAGTTCGGTGCTTTCTGCAGTGTGTGTCCTATGCACTCCCACCGCTTCTTCCTGATTTCCTCCTCCACTGGAATCTGATTTGTTCTATCCCACATTAGGTTGTTGCTGATAGTGTCTGGCCAACGAACCCGAAGTATTTTGCGTAGACAACTGTTAATGAATACTCGTATCCTCTGGATGATGGCTTTGGTAGTTCTCGAAGTTCCCGCCACATACACTAGAACTGTCTTGACGTTAATCTTGAAAATTCTGATGTTGGTGTTGATTGATATTTGTTTGTAGTTCCAGATATTTTTCATTTATAGAAATACAACCCTTGCTTTGCCGATCCGCGCCCTCACATCTGCATCGGATCCACCTTGATTGTCAATGATGCTGCCCAGATATGTGAAGGTGTTAACGTCCTCCAAGGCGTGTCTATCAAGTGTGATCTGGTTGGCGCATGTGTTGTATCGCAGAATCTTGCTTTTCCCTTTATGTGTATTGAGACCTACTGCTGCTGAAGCTGCAGCTACACTGGTCGTCTTCATTTGCATTTGTTGTTGTGTGTACAACAGAAGAGTCGGGTCATTTCCGAAGCCTTTAGACCTTTCGGGGCTATTGCCCGTTCCAAGCCCAGATAAACGAGTAGGGTTGGGCATAGGGTCGACGACTCCATCCCACCAAAAAAAACTAACTTGCTAGCAAAAACGCTAACTAGAACAAATAACCATATCAATAAACAAACATGTATATTGATTGATATCGAAATAATGAAAGGAAGTATAAATAAAAAAAAACGTATAACATAATCATTTGTATATTTATTATCTAATTTCTTTTTACTTTCTGTTTTTCCTCCTCCCCCCCACGTCTATCTCTATGTGTGTGTCAGATGTATTGTATCATTAACATGGTAAATTTACCGCTGTACGTATCATCAGTGGATTTACTGATTCTGTTATTCTCCGCATTGTCACATGATCTTGATCATCCGGGCTTTACAAACTCTTACCAGGTGAATGAAATACACTATTATTATTATTATTATTATTATTATTATTATTATTATTATTATTATTATTATTATTATTATGGTTATTGATTATTATTTCATGATGCTATTGAAAATTATTTTAAACAAACTTATTTTATATGCAACATTATTTGTCAATTTGTGATGTAAACTATGAAATCTACACACACAAACACGCATACACAGACAGACATACCGTCTTTTGTCAGATCTAGATTCCCAGAGTTCTAGCGAAAAATTGTGACCAGTGAAATTCAACTATATTTGGCAGATAGTTGAACACTGTTTCATCACTCTAAAAGTTAAATGGTGACTGAAAGACGTGAAAGTTTGTGAGTTCAATCCCTAATAGAGTCATGAATGCACATTGTTATATAATAAATAGTCGTATACGAGGAGAAAGCAGATGTTCGTAATGTAAACGATGAAAATCGTTTATATTATGCGAGCATGTTCAGGATGCGGTTCTCATCCTCGAAATGCAAAATGTTGCTTCAAGACTGGGTTGCATCGGGACCTGAGCTAGTGATAGGGAGGGAAGTAGTCGAGCGTGTTGATCACTTCACTTATCTGGGGAGTCTCATCAGCGCTGATAGCCTGGTTACTGACGAAATCTCAGCTCGGATACATAAAGCTCGATTGGCTTTTGCCAACATGCGTCACTTATGGCGTAGGCGTGATATCCGTTCGCTGACCAAAGGACGAGTGTACTGCGCAGCAGTTCGCTCTGTCCTAATATACGGATGCGAAACATGGCCGGTAAGAGTAGAAGATGTTCGTAGGTTACTAGTATCCAATCATAGATGTTTAAGAAGCATTGCTCGTATACCATGGGACAACCGAGTAAGCAATGCTGTTGTTAGAAAACGAGTACTAGGTAAGGATGGTAGATCAATACATGAAGTGCTGAAACTTCATCAGTTGAGGTGGTTGGGACATGTGTTACGAATACCTAACCACCGACTGCCTCGACGAGCTATGTTCAGTGGTGTAGGAGTAGGTTGGAAGAAAGTTAGGGGCGGCCAAACCAAAACATGGCAGAAATCCATGAAGTCATTGACTAGTGGACTGAGTCATGTTGGTAGATGTAGACTACCTGGTTGGGTTCCGCCAGACGAAAGTCACCAATGGTTAGAGACCTTGAATGACACGGCTCAAAATCGTTTGCAATGGTGCAAGTGCATCCATTCTTTGTGTTCTCTCAAATTCTAATCTTCTGGAATCGTCAGCACCTCTATCTTTGTCTTTCTAACCTTATTTCACTGAATTATACTTCTTGAATAATATCTTCAAACCCTAGTCTTCTTCATTACCATTAATACCTCTGCTATCTTTATCACTGTGGGATTTGATTTGACATTTGCGTCTCTGTGCTAATAATGTGGTATGGCAACATGAACTGATGTACATACGTACGAAGTTCTATGTTGCAACTGACTGACTGAAACGATCAAAAATATAAATATTTATCGAAACAGTATTACTATCGTGAGTGCTTGTCATGGTGTTAAGTTATATATACGAATGTTTGTTATAAATACCTTGTCTGATCTTCATGACACTAGGGAGTTAGGTAAATACTTTCTATAATTACAGATTTTTTTTCAAACTATGAATCGATCTATGTTAGACCACCATTAGAAACCTGGAAGCACTGAACGGCCGTTTCGTCCTAGTATGGGACTCCTCAGCAGTGCGCATCCACGACTCCTTCACCTCGCAGGGTTCGAACCCAGGACCTTCGGTATTGTGCGCGAACGCCCTAACCGTTAGACCACTGATCCGGTATCTAACGGTGTTAATGTCTAACTTGATCAAATCCACGGAGTTGCGCAACCTCATACACAGTCTTCGGTAGACACTGCCTACACCCGAACAGGTTGAACTTGACTGGTCACGTCTTCCCACTAGAACTAGGAGAAGATTCCTCACGAAGCTAGTCACTAATGAGCACAGGTAATTTGCATTACGGGGTTCTGAAGACTGTTAAGTTGCACATTTTTTTTTGAAACTATGAATCGATCAATGTTAGACCACCATTAGAAACCTGGAAGCACTGGACGGCCGTTTCGTCCTAGTATGGGACTCCTCAGCAGTGCGCATCAATAATTAGTTGGTTAATACAACATTCTTGATCAAATCAGATAATAGGAATATTTATATTCTTGGGAAATCCAGTGTTCTTCAACGTACAGAATATGTTTGACCAAACTGAACACCTACAAAAAAGAACTATGTGATAGATAAATACATGCATACATACATAATAATTTCACACTAATTTTTTTAAGTCACGTGGTCAAAATCATCTAAATACATTTTACATCAACAAAACATTCAAACATCCAACATACTGGTTAAACGTGTAAACACAATTCGAATGCCTTATTATTGTTCGCATATAATCTTTCAATCAACATACACTCTAGTACTCTTCTGTGATAATTTCAATGGAAGAACACCCATTAAGTTGTTTTCTTTTCTAATCAATCAGCAGTCATTAAGGATGTTTTGAAGAAGATGGTGAATATGTGTTACTTGGATGGATAGAGCATACCAACTGCATTTGGTTATCCATTTCGACATATCTGTCACATTTTCATAAGAAATCTCTTGAATTTATACAAACTGAACTGTATCCTGTGAACTGTTCATTCAGCTTCCACACCATATAATCAATGGTGAAAAATATCAGTTTAACGGCAGTAAGTAAAGCCTAACTCTTATTCCATCAAGTGGTTGAAATGATCAGATGATTTTAAGCACGAAACGAATGCAAAATACTCTGTAGTTGTAACTTTTTTTGATGTTGTATCATTGCGATAGTCGTCAAACGAGGAGATAGTGACTGTTCAATACTCCTAACGTTTCCAAATGTTATTCAGTGGTGGAAAAATCTTTTCACAGAACTACTCTTCACCAATTTTATACATAGACAAGTTAACTAAAATATTTCTCTTCTCAGACAATCAATCCTCCTCTCCTTTGTAATTTAAACAATATCACCGTTGGATGCCGGCTCAGTGGTCAAGAGAATAAGTGTTTAAGTGTTAGACCAAAGGTTATGTGTGTAGGGTCATGGATGCGCACTGCTAATGAGTCCCATATTAGGTTGAGACGGCAGTCCAGTGTTTCCAAGTAGTATTTCTTAGTAATAATATACTTCAAATAAAATAGGTTTCTTGAGATGATTTTAAACCATAGGAATTATTAGCCATGAGTTTATCATGTTTTCGAAAGAACCCTTTACTTCTTCTATAACTAAACTAATCATAGAAGTGATCTATTAATTGTATGTTTACATCCTACAATTTTTCTGAAGTTCGGAATTTATACATTAGTTAAAGTTTAATCACCGTACTTAATTAAATATTAAGAATCACAGGTATCCTTTATAACTTACTTACATCTGTTATCCCTCGTGGAGCATAGGCGTCTAACCAGGATTCTCCAGCCTTCTACTCTGTCTTGAACTCTTCTTTCTACCACTTGTTGCCAACTTTTTGTTCATTCTTTTAATGTCTGCCTTCAATTCCTGGTACAATGTGTTCTTTGATTTATCTCTTTTCCTTTTGTCATAACGATTTCAAATTAGGGTATATTTTGTGATGTAGTTTGATGGATGATTTCATCAGTGTATGTATATCCTTTCCATCTCGAACATCATTTCCCTTGTAGTGAGTGCTTTCATGTCTAGTTCACATGGCTCACCCTACTTTTCTTTTTATCTTGTCAGTCAGTCATTTGCTCATATCTGCGTTGCTTTTATTCGTGCGTGTGCATATGCGCCTACCTCGGTTATTACATGTCTGGCTTATTTTTGTCTGACTGTAAGCTCATCAAATGGAGTTGGCTCTTTCGCCTTCTCCAACTTGCTTCGCTTTATTCTCTTATGCTCTTCATTATCATGTCTGCATGAACAATTGCTTGAAATAAACTCATTCAACCGAGCCTGTATTTGGCTTCGTTTATTACCACTGTTGCACAAACAAGGTTCGCCTAAGTATGTGATATACGGAGGAAATAGAAGGGAAGATAAATAAATTGTTCATAAATAATGAAGCCAGATAAAGGGCCACTAAAGTAGTGAGCCCTACATCGAATCTAACACACTCCAAATTTAACGCAACCTGTACAATGACATCGACAAGTCAGCTCTGGAACTCAATGCATTCGATGAATGAATGAATGAACGAACTAACCAAGCTCGATAAGCAACACAGATATGAGTGAATAACTGACAAGGTCAAACGACAATTGAAGCGAGTCCTGTGAGCTAGATATGCAAACACTTACTACATACACCTTAATTCCCTCTTCAACTAAGATTCGGTTTAGTCTTTGCCAACTTGGTAGATAATGATTTAAAAGTTAAGCAGTAAACTTTGAAATTTACACTTACCCTCTACTACTTGGCAAGCTATTAAAACGGCTAATGGTCATTTATGTTCGTTAGTTGCATTTAAAGAAGTAAACAATGGTTAATATGTATCTTTTTTCTAAAGAGATTTCCTGGTACAGCCGAAGGCTAGGAGCGACTGTATTTTTTTTCTTCTAGTTTGACTACGTATATTTTATAGTCACTGCCAGGAACGTCCTATGCACTTCCTTCTTGCCCTTTTGGCAATGTTGTTTACTAATTTGAGAGAGGACAAATAGCGAATTTTTTCACGATTACAGCTTGTCCCAGCCTTTGGACAAATTAACTAATTTCATTCTACTCGAATTATATTATTCATACATCTTTCGACCTTGTCTATTAATTCGCTCATATCTTTGACTGTTTTCGATTTCAATATGTATGTTCATACTTACTACTTTGCTTATCACATGTCTAGTCTATTTTTGTCTGACTATATATATTTACTTAGTCATGCCTTATTGCATTGAGAGTTGGCTTGTAGTGAATGAGAACACAGGTGGGGCAACCGAATGGTATTTAGCGAAAATTACAGAGTTACTCAGTAAAATAGGAAAACCAT